CCCCCTAAATATGCAGATTTTAAGTCTGTGCAATTGCCACCTTTTACTGATTTATAAGTTTTGGCATAAGAAAGAAAGAGAGCGGATGAACCATTTCTTAGCGGAAACATATTTAACCACTTTTTAGAGCCGGTTGTTATCATTTATTAGAACTGGCACCTTCTTCCAGCTGATTTTGCCTCTTTCTCACTGATCTGGAGAAGGCGGAGGAGACCTGGGGGTGCGGAGCTTTCCCCCCGTCCTGATGCACGGGCAGGGCAGGACGGGGGAGGGTCACCAGGGTCTTTCCACGGCGGTGGGGTGTAACCTGCGTTACTTTAGGCATATTTACTTCTGCAGTTTAGGTTTGGAAGGCGATAAAGATAAGCTAAAAGAGGATAAAAGCTGAGAGTGAACTTCACGGCTATGGAGAGTCTGGAGACCAGATTCTGAGATAACTCAGCCTTCAAAGGGCTGAGCATTTATTTCAGGCGGTGTAAACCATCCAGAAATTATACTAATAATAACAATAATAGTGATAATCACAACAACAAGCAGCGAATAACTTTTTTGTTTGTTTGTTTTAGAGTCAGGAAATAGAAATAAAATCTCAGCATAAAGCAAACATAATTTATGAATGATACATTTAGGCAAGTCTAAGAGGTTGTGAAAGAAACTTCAGTCACGGACCCCTCCAAACGCACGAAAGCGCAACAACAACAACAAAAATCCCTCCTGAAGAGTAAAACCTTTAAAAAAAAAAAAAAAAAAAAAAAGTGAAATAAGTTTCTGTAGCCTAAAAGCCGAAGGATCTACCTTTGCCATTTCCTGTGCTAGCTCTCAGTTTGAATGCTGCCGTCTGTTAAAAATCCCTAAGTGGTGAGGAGGGAAGGAGGGAGGGAGGGAGGGAGGGAGGGGGGGAATTCCTTGTCTGAAGAGAAGCAAAAACAAGTTACACATGTGGGCAATTTTCCAAGGACCGAAAGTATACTCTGGCTAAAAACCCCAGTTCCAAATGAGGTTTGTAATCTCAGCAGTTAATAAAGCATTTAGATCCCCTGTAAAGTAAAAGCGTATGTGCATTTGAAAAGGGAAGCTGGAAGGACAGAAAGTTTAAATAAAGTTTGATTGTTGTTCGGGAACCCACATTCTGGCTACTAGACTAATTTCCACACACCCCCACACACCCCCTCCCTCCTCCCTCCTTGAAATAATATTCAACTCCCATGGAATATCTGGGCGCCTGCCTCGCTGCCGCAGATTTTACACCCCGGGAGCTGCTGGTGTAACTGCTGCGGATTCCCCTGGCTCTGCCTTGGGGTCACCGCGATAGAACTGGAGACACCCCACCCCAAAAGAAAAAAAAAAAAAAAAAATCTTTCAAATCGCATTAGGCTGGGAGGAAGGGAAGTAACAGCCCGTGATGGTGAGAAATCTGTCGCTCCCACTCAAGGCAGGGGAAGAGGGTGGGAAAATAAAAGCACAGGTACAAGAATTAAGTTGAGATGGAGTTGTTTCCATAAAACCCGTAGCATGAGCCCCGGTAAAATTAAAAAAAAAAAAAAATTAAAAAAAAAGGGAGTTTCTTTCGGCTAGGCTCTTCCCACAACACTTTTGCTCGTAACTAAAACTCATCCCGGGTCGGAGTAATATCAGACAGGCTGGACCTTGGCAGGGGAGCAACTGGGGGGGAAATTTGTGGCATCACCCGCAGTTGCCCGTTGCCTGGAAGCGCAGAAATGTGCAGCAAGTCGCAACCCAGGCAACTACTACGCGGAGGAGAATTTTTTTTTTTTTTGTAGCCAGCCCCACAGAGCTTCTTCTCCAGGTAAGGTCGCTCTTATCTTTCTAATTCGGAAAAGAAGAGAAACAAACGGCTCCAGAGGCAGCCGTGCCTGTGGGACAGGCGGGACCCCCTGCCCACCGCACCCTCCTCTCCCCGCTCCTTCCTCCCCAAAGCCCTTGGGAAATGAATCCCAATTCCCGTTTTCAGGCAGCAATACAGATCCCCCGGGCCTGATTCTGATCTTTTCCAGCTCTGTGTCCCCCATTCTCCTCCCTGGCCCTTGTTTCCTGTATTTACGTGGGGAGGAGGGAGATCAAAATCAGAAGCCCAGACATTTACAAGGCAGGTTAGTGGTTGCCTATGGGGACATTATTACCGAATAGTTTATGATTAACTTTCCCAGATTGTCCTTTTCCGTTTAAGGGCTTTGAGTTAGGGCACAAGCAGCACGTTGTTTCTAAGGAAGGAGTCACAGGGCTTGTGAGTTAGGTAGAAAACTCTGAGTTATTTTACGCTGTTTGACTTTCCCTCTCCTCCCCTCGAGCGGCTGTTTGTTTTATAGGCGAGATAGGCGCTCTGCCTACAAGAATCACCAGTTTCGGGAATAAAGCACGCACCAGTTTAAAACCCATACAAGTTTTTTTTGTTTGTTTGTTTTCGTTTTCTTTTTACACTCCGAGTGGAGAAAAAAAAACCAAAAACCCAACCAACAACCCTGAAACCCAAGTAACCCCCTCGGCCACAAAAAGTAGCAGCAGATGGTGGTTTAGACCCTGGATATGGTATCAAAGTTTAATTCTTCAAGCCTCGAAGGGAGATCCAGTCCCAGGCTTGTTTAGCCGTGGCCTGGATCATGTGAAACTTGTTTTTATGCGTATTTGAAACACCAATGCAGAGAAAATCGCTTCCATGAGCTGATTGCTCTCACACACACAACTCCACGGGTTTCCAGTTTGCAGAAAGTGGAATGGGTGAACTTCAGCCAAGCACACACTCTGACACACAGAGCTCTCCGCACTCTCTCTTCCTCACCCGGATTTTTATAGGTTTTGGCTGCTTTTTTTTTTTTTTTTTTTTTTTTTTTTTTTTTTTGGTAACTCAGCCTATTCCCACGTGCAACACGTTGGGATACGGAGGAAGGATGTGGT